AGCAAGCCTCGATATCAATATGTTAAGACTTAAACATTTGATATATAAAAATAAACGTTGTCCGAGGACCAACTCGGTCTTATTAAAACACGATAGGACAATAAAAACTTATGATTTCACTTAAATTGCTACGCATTTTGATTTGATAATAATGAGCAACAATACAAATTCCGTTCGGGCTTGAAAGAATACCTCATTAGAAAGCTTAGAAATAAACCTACAAATTTCATGAAGATCACATTTTCATTTGAGCACATTAAGATGCAACAAACAGGTCAAACAATAAATACACACATGCTGTCGGGATTCGTTAAACTGTTCGCGTGACAATTTTGTAAAAATCATAACTCACTCGTTTCACATCGGATTTTCAAAATTCCAAAACTCACAGAATCACAACAAGATAAGATATAATTCATATGAATAATACAACTTCCAAAAACGAGTTTTAGATGGCCATAATAGCAGTACAACAGAAGCAGCAACATTCACAATTTATAATTCAAATGTCAATGAACCTCGTCAGTATATTCTCTAACATCGCATAACGCATAATAACTAGAGAGGATTAACAATTTTCATGATCACATCAAAGGTTCAACATAGTGCCACACAAATTCCTCACGTTCGACAAATATATAACCTTAAGATGATTGAACGAAATTCTCATACACTTATAAATCACATAAAGGGGAATCAATAAATCACATAATCCTCACCTCATACTCAACTAGTCATGCTTCGAGCTAACATGAACTCACTCTTACTAAGACACAAGAGACATTCAACATACAATACCAGAGGTTGACAGAGGCCATAAACATCCATAAAAATGGCAGCCTAAGACATCAACTCATCTCATAATTTTCGAAACCTGGCAAAGGTCCGAAGAGGGCGAATACATTTCCAGTTCTCATTGACTGGGTCCTCACTTGAAGACTTTGAATAGAATTACATAGCAAGGGAAACTGCTATGGGCATAACTTATCTCGATAACAACATACTGAAACTCTCGACGAGGAACCTCTAGAGTCCGAACTTAACTCTATATCACTAGAGTTCACATTAAACCAAAGGAGGATAGATTTCCTAAGCCCCCAAATAATTATGATATATATATCTATATATCAATTTACATCATAAGTAATTTCATTACTACTTATGTAAAAATACAAAATTCACATTATAAGTATTTTCATTGATACTTATAAAACATACCTTTAAGCAGCGCGGCGTGACGAAGGCGAGTGGTCATAACATAAGGTCCAATCACATAATCACATATAAATCAGTCTACAAAAACGCAGACTGGCTCTGATACCAAACTGTAACGCCCCAAACGATTTTAAAAGAAACTCCATGTCTTTTTCAATTATCGCAGTAAAATTTTTTGAAATTCATTTTTCGATTCATAAATAATTCGGCGTTACTCATCCATTTCAAAATATAGTTCAACTTGTGTCTGAACTAACGGGGATTTATTACCCGATTTTTCAAAGGTTTTCATTAATCATATAAACAATAAACGTAACATCGTAACATTCTTATCCACATACTCTGAATGTCATAGAAAGGTTTTCCACCACAAACCAATCCAACGGTTTTCATAATAACCAATTCAACATGTTCAAAAATTCAACCAACATGTTCAAATAACCCAAAACACAAGGTTCATAAATGCGGAAGCAAATAATAATAAATAAATTATAGACCACCACTCGCCTTGCCTCGTCATCCGCCAACTGCTTAACCTGCATCCGTGAAGAGCAGGTGGGAGTGAGCATAATAGGAAAATTTAATGCTCACTACTATGCAATGCACATTTCATAATATGTTAAATAGGCATGGTCGCAGCATGAACATAAACAATATCACATATGTCTCATCTCCAACATAAACATAAATACTCCTGTGTACACATCTTTCATAATAGTTGCAGAAAGGGGATTCATTACCCTAACGGCGAGAGTACGTGCCACACAAGGACACGACCTTTCATAATAGGTCTTAAGGAGACTTGTCTCGCACGGCAACCGTATTACATTGACGGGGACAACCGTACTGACCATCATAATAGCTCACATCGATAGGCTACATATTCACGTTCATACATAGATCACGCCAAAACCGTAAACATATTTAACACACATTGCACAGGTAATTTTAAAATAACAACCCACCTGGAAATCGAGATAGAATATCACACTGAAATAGCAGGTAAGTAGGTCGAGGGCTCGACTCCTCAAACACCTACAATTAAGTGAGATAATACATCAATAATCTATCTCACTACTCGAATTTAACATATAAATCGCACCTAATAAAAAATAATGACTAAGGGATTTTTATTGGATTTTTCGTGGACTTGGAACTCTCAAAATTTTGAAAGAAAAGACTCATGAACGAAAATAGAGCCTCGGGACTTAAAATAATTTTTCCCAAATTTTTTTCGTTTTGAAAATATTTTTAAAATTGAAATCGGTATTAAAAACGGGCTTCCGGAACATAAAAGAGGTTAAAAATCAACTTGGGCCGAAGCTGCCAAGGGACTTCGCCAATTGGGCCGCGGCTGGGGTGAAATTAGGCCCAAAATCACGGCCTGTTAAGGAAAAAGGGGTGCGGGCTGACTGAAGGCCTGGGCGCTGGGAGAGACTTCGGGCCGCGCGCGGGCTGGGGTCGGGCTGAACGGCCCGGCGCACCTTCTGTTTTGCTGGGCGGAAAAATATAAGAAAGGTTGCTGGGGTAGGTGTCGAACCCCAGACCTGTCGCACGAAAGTGAGCGCTCTCACCACTGCACTACAAGCCTGGATGCGATCTTAAAAGAATTCATTGGCTACTAAAATAAAACTTTGGGGCTGCAGTAATAAATAAAAAAAATGAAAGGTCAACAGGCCTGGGCAACTTGCTGCGATAACGATCAGATAAAAAAATATATATCTCCCTGGCAGCGAAGCAGAAACAGAGCACCTCAGATTGCAGAATTAATTCATCCGGCCACGGATTTCGACGGCGATTTCGAGCGCAACCAATGTTCAGAAAATCACGAAAATGTCCACAATAAACCAACTTTCTGAGTTTATAATTTATAAAAAAAAAAAATCTGGAAAATTTGGAACGACGATTGGAAGGCCCGAAACAAAAGAACGAGACTCCGAAAATAATAAACGGAAGCCCGAAATACATCATTTCCACAGGAACAACGTTATTCGATTTCAGATAAAACTCAACAGCAAGGCTCGATATTTTCAAAAATGAGAGTTCCAACGAATCCACGATAACTTAACGAACAAATAACGAACCAAAAGAAATCCGACTTCTAACAATTCGATTCATCGCACGATTTAGCCAACGATTAAATACGATTACGAACAGAATACAAAAAGGGGTTTGCCGATTACCTCTCTTCGGGAATTTACGAGTTCGGTTGGAAATCGGACGAGGCGAATGGAAAGCTCGACGAATGGCTCGACGGCGAACAAAGATAAACACGGCCTGCTACTTTCCCCTCCCGAACAGAAAGGCTGCGTTGAGGGACGACGAAGAACAGGCCGAGACTCGGTGATGAGTGGCTGACCGGAGAGACCGCCGGAAACAATGGCAGATAGCCTGTCTGAACGACCGGGATGCCGGAAACGGTGCGACGGAAAATAATTTTTGTTTTTTTTTTCTGATAGGACTGCGATTTGGATGAGGAAGACGATATAATAGGTGAGACCAATTAATCTCCTCAGCGATTCTTACGTAGACGATGAGAAGAATGTGCGTAAGGTGCGAGAGAGAGGGAGAGATACGGGGTGCAGTTGAACAGATAAAATTTTATCCCCTCAATTCAAACAAAATCCACGTGAAATTAAAGAAGATGGGCCAAGATAAAACAGTTGGGCTGGGAGAACTTCAACTCAAGTTGGGCCAATAAAATTAACAAAGAATTGGGCTGGAAATAATTTAGCACAAAAGCCTAAAATTTAACATGAAGGCTGGAAATAAAAATATACGCGATAACGAGACTTCCGATCGATCCGATTGACAACAAAAAATAAATAAAACTACACGATGATGACCGGAAAATTTAATAAATAAATCCGGCAATATATATATTACACACATTAATTAATAATAATAATAATAATTATACAAATACACATTTAGGCAATTAATTACAATTAAACATTAAATAAATATTCATAATATTATTAATAATAATGAAAACAATAATAACATTAAAAATAAACAATCATTATAAATAATCTCAATAAATCCATAAATAAACGGGGCGCTACAATATGAATGTCAATTTCGAAGCTCATCAAAAGATGATTAATTTGATATATTATATATGTAAAAGCGATAAGAAATACAAAATTATCAACTTTTAAAATATATTTTAAATTCAATGATTATAATAGGAAACGATATTAAAATATAATTAATATAAACAATAATTTATATCCAAGCCTAACTCCAAAACATGACTTTTTGTCAAATAGGATTCCGAAGCATGAGAGTTTGCCACGTAGGCTCAGCGCATTCTAAAATTATATATAGAGGGGATATATAGAGGGATATATGTTACAGGTGATCTTGTCCAACACTATTTTATTATAAGGGATTTAATATAAGAAAACCAGTTTTAGCAAAATTAATTTACCTTTTCCTTTTTCTACAAAAAGTTACTCTTGTTTTATTTTATATTAATTATTTCTCTTTTAGCTCCTAGAAAAATGAATGCAAAATATTGAGTAACTATCAATATTATTGCATCGTGTAGATTCGAATTCCGCCGGAAATAGTAAATCCGGCGAAAAAGTCCTACTTTTGATCATTTTTTAAAAACTATGGGACTATTCATATTTTGTGCATTCCGCCGGGACCAAAATTGTCACCCACTATATCTGTGGGACTAATTTTGAAATTTTCCCTTAATTTTATGTCAATTTTTTCATATGTACACGCTATACCAATTGTGTAGTTTGATCAATTGTTGAAATCTTGTATTTCTATTATACACGAGTGCGCCTCTTATTGAGTGTATGTATTGTGTTTGCTAATTGCTAATAGATGTAAATGAAAGATTAATTCACATTTGCCATCAACAATATAAGAAAAAAGCCAGCAAAACAATGAAAAGAAAGAGCAAATTAACTTAGTCTCACAAACACACTTCATAATTAATTTGCTTCAAGAAACCAGCTCAAATTAAAATGGTGGTGATTTACTAAAGTGTGGCTTTACAGGTTTCTATAGTGTTGTTGACGGGCGTTTCCGGTCAACGGTTAAAAAGATTAAATAATGAAAAGAGAATAAGGAAAAGACAAGGAAATACGGTTTAATTGCAGTTTTATTAATAGATCGCGAGGTCGGCCTCTCGTACGAGGTCGGCACTTGCAATATCCTTACAAATTGTTACAGAGCAATTACACGAGTTTTAGAGAGAGAAAGTAGAGAGAGATAGCTTTTTCAGTTGAGATTCAACAACCCAAAATAAATGAAGTGGGCTGCTATTTATAGTTGCCTTAAATGTGGCACTGTTCGGACACTGTTCATCAGTCTTGTCGTACAGTGTTTCTGGCAGAGTAGTTCGGCGCCTCCCTGACAGAATTTAATGCGATTTGAGGTTTTCCTCATCATTGTCTGACTGGCATTTAATGCTGACAGGCTTTATGTCTTGGCTGGGGGGAATAGGTCAACAGGCTAGGGCGTCCCATCCATTAGCCAATGATTACCCTCCAAGTGGCATTATTATAATATTATCGAGGTCGACACCTTCACTACAGTAGCCCGTCCTGGGACTCCAGGTCGGCACCTTTTCTTTATTTGTCCCTCCGACCCTAGGGAACCTTTCTTCCAGACCGTCACTCTTCAGGTCGGTATCTGGGCTTCGTAGTCGCGAACGCCGGACTTATAGACGAACTCACGGGACCGTCCAGGTCATGAAATTTTTCGGTCCAGCTCGGCACTTTATGGGTGGACCGGGTCTCCGGTTTGGTTCTCGGAATTTGTCCGGTTCGGTCTTATCGGCGAACTCGGATGTCAACATACAGGCCCCCGGGCTCAGAGAGGGTGTTCTCGGCATCCTCTGTGAGGCCGTCATCTCAGAATACATCTGAGGTCGGCGCAGGACTTGGACTTGGAACAAATTGCAACCATCATTTGCCCGTTATCTCCAGACCTGAAGCGACATCTCATTTAATGCGTCGTGGCCGTTACGCTTCTTGTCGGTTACGAAAAGGTGTGCCGGTTCAGAACCTTTACACGTGTCGCTCATTAATTGGTGCTCTCCAAACGTCGTGTCGTCTCAATGAAACGGTGACTTTTGGGGCGCGTGGCTTCCACGCGGCCGTTTTACGAACCGTTGGATCGTTTCGCTCCCAACCGTCGGATTATATCATTGATTTCAAATTTTGAATGTTGCGCCACGTGTATTGTTGTGATTGGTTCTCTGTGCGTATATATATTCATCTCCTTCTTCTTCGACGAGTTTACTTTCACGATTTCCGAGCGAACGAACTCTTGAGCACTCAGACTTCCGAGCAGATTTACAGAACGATTTTCGAGGTCCTTGCAGCTTTCCGGCGACTTTCATATCGGTAATTCCGTTTATCTGAAACCTTTTCCTTCATCTTCTTTCGATTATGTCGAATTCGTCTGAGCACGCGGCGAACCTTTCCGCCGGAGACGACGGGTTTACGGTGGAGGAGACTGGAGAGCTAGTCGTTTACTCTCCTCCGACGACCGGCGCACTGCAACCCCTCCGAGTGACTCCGATCTCCGCCGTCCGTGTGGCGTCGGCGACAGCGGCGGCGGACCAACGTGGCCAGGGACATTCGGACTTCCCTACCATCGAGATCATCGACCTCGGCTCCGGCCAGTCCGACGCCGAGGAGGCCGAGAAGGAGACCGGCACCATCTCTCCCGGCGAATCTGATGTTGACGCCGAGCTGGTGGAAGAGACGCTCCGAGGCAACACCTACGGACGAGAACGTGTTCCCATGGCGCGCGAAGATGCCGAAACAGACGCCGCCGTCGAAGCCGCCACCACGGCTCCTCTGGGGTGTTGGTGCCGCCCTCCGCGGGTGTGGCCTTCTACCGCCTCGGCTACCGCGTGGACGACCCCCTCGGTGCTGACGGATCTCGATCTGGCCAAACTGAGGGGCAAGGCCAGCTTTGGCGCCGGGGTGAGAATTTTCGCCCCTTATGCAGGTGAGCGAATACACTGTCCGCCGCCGGGTTGCGGCGGCGTTTATCGGTCGAGTATCTTGCTCGGCCTCCGATTTCCGCTGCCCGGGGCTTTGAACGACATCCTTAGTCACCTCGGCATCGGCATTAGCCAGCTCGTCCCGACGGTCTTTGCTCGGCTCGTCGGCCTTATCGTCCTGTTCCGCCAGCAAGGGTGGCCGGATCCCACAAGTGCCGACGTGGGATCTCTATTTGTCTTTAAAAAGTCCGGGGAGACCGGCAATTACTACAACTCCGTCGCCCCGGGCGTGGACAAGTCGTTGATCCATAAGGTCCCGGAATCGCTGCACGGCTATATGCCGGAGTGGTTCTGGGTTGGTGGCGAATGGAGGACGCCCAACGCGACTCGGCACCCTTCTACCGAATTTATTTCTGGCCCTTGTAAGTGTTTTATTTATCCCGCTTTTACCCTTCTGATTTACGGTTTTTATATGCTAACAGGTCGGTGTTTGCCTTTCAGTCCACAACCCCCACGTTGAGCCGAGTGACGAGCTGGTTGCGAAGGTCGAAACTCTGCTCGGGCTTGCCGCGGAGAAGCGCAACTACCGAAATCTCGTTGCGGAGGAGAACCTGATCCAGCACGACCTGTGCCCCGAATACAACAGCAAGCACTTCGAACCCGGTACTTCTCCTTCACTTCTTATTTCTACGCACGAGTACCTTTACGTTTATTCTCACCCTTGCATTTTGTCATCGTTCGACAGTGTACTATCCCCTCCACCGTGAGTGTGGATTTGGTTCGGTGAAGGAGGCGAACAAGTACGCGCGCGCGCATCCGAGCTCCCTGAAAGATCGAAAGATGGCCAGCCGCATGGACTTCCTGACAAGGCAGTCGAAGAAGAAGACCTCGGCGTCGAGTTCGGCGGGGACCTCGGACCCTGCCCCGCCGAAACCGACCTCTAAAGCCGCGATCTCCCAGGAGGCCGCTGTGGCTGCCAGCTCGGCCCCGACTGTTCCCGCAGGCGGGAGAAGGGGCCGGTCTAGTGCCTCCGAGACCGGCGCCGGTCATGGCCGAGGTGCGGCCAATCAGGGCGGGCCCGCTCGTCAGAGGAAGCGTCGGATCCTTGCAGAGGAGCCGGAGGAGCCCGCTGAGGGTGATGCCGAGGTGGCGGGCAATTTCCCGCCGTCTCCGAAGAAGAAGAAAGTTTCAGAGGTCCCGGGAGCCGCCACCGCGGATGAGAGGTCGGCCTTCGTCCACCAGGCCGGCTCCTCGTCTTACATACCGGTGGATCCGAGCCTCAAGGCTAGCCTCTCCAAGAGCCTTGAGCAGTTCCCGGACCAGTGGTTTATTGATTCGACAGCGGCAGTTCCGCTCGACCTGCCCAACCCCTACTGTCTGCCAGGGAAGGTGATGTCTGCGGCGCGGGCCGTGATGGCTTCCTGGACGCCAACCGCCGAGACGGCCGTGACCATGCTTTCGCCGACGCAACTCATCCATCATTCAGTGGCGTCCATGGGCCGGTCCATGGTTGAGCTGATTCACGCCGCCGTGGCCATGCAGAAGGAGGTCGACGCCCGCGACAAGGCGGAGGAGGACCTGGCCACCTCCAAAGGCCGGATCAGCGAGCTGAAGGACGAGATCAGGAGGATCTCGTCCCTGGAGAACGAGCTGGTCCTCCAACGCGGAGCTGCCGCCGTGGCGGAGAGGGTGGCTGCTAAGGCCACCGAAGATTTAGCTCGTGAGAGGGCGGAGTGGGCCCAGAAGATGGAAGAAGCTGAGATGAAGCGGGCGGTGGAGCTCTCGGAGAGTGAGAAGCGCCGTGCCGACGAGGTGCACGGGCTGGAGGAGAGGCACAAAGCCGATCTCGCCCATCTCGCCGAACTGCATGCGGCCGAGATCGCCTAGCTGAAAAAGAAGCACGAAGGGGAGGTTGCCGGGCTGGTGAGCTTCGGCAATAGGCTGACCTCACAGCTCACCCTTTTGAAGGAGGCCGCCAAGCAAATCGATGGCGAGCCCATTGCTCTCCCTCCTCCGGCAACCTTCGCCGAGGTCCAGGCTCAGTATTTTGAAGAGATGAGGGAGAGCATGGATATGGCGGTGGCCTTCAACCTCTACTGGTTGTTTCAGAGGCTAGATGCCGGGGTGCTCTCCCTTGACGACTTCCGGGCCATCCTCTCTGAGAAGGCGGGCCGGTATGATCTAAACTTTGAGGGCCAGGTCTGCGAGGTCGACCCAGACGAAGCCACGGTGGTCCGGAGGCTCCGGGGTTGGGATGATGACATCATTGTCGGCTTCGAGAAGTTCGGCGCCATCCCGACCCTGGAGACGTGGAAATTGGCCCCTGGGGAGGTTCTGCCGGCGTATAAGCCGTTCGCTCCCGAACCCGAGCTTGAGCCCCGGCCGAGGCGTGGGGTCGTCCTCTCTGTAATCGCCGACATAGAAGAGACGGAGAAAGCTGCGGCTGCGGCGAAGGCGAAGGCAGCGGGGGACACCGAGGCGGGGGTTGGCACTTCTGGGATGAAGGAGGTGGAGGTCGAGGAAACGGCCGCGGCAGAGACCGAGGTCGAGGTCGTGGAGGTAGACGCCGAGGCCGTTCACTGAAGATTCTCCGGCCTGCGTGCCGCGGTTTTTCGGCCGCCTGTGGCCTCTTTTTAAGGTTTAATTTTTTGAATGGTTCGTTTTTTGGGCCTGTGAGCCGCTTTTTTTTAAAAAACTTGAATTATGAATGCTTTTTGTGTTTTTCGAATAGTTTGTTTTGAATGAATGAATTATGAATGGCTTGTGTTAAATGAGTGAACGCTTTAAAGTATGAGTCTGGCGCCGATCTATGCGCCTAGTTATTTGCTCGGTCGGGCCCGGGATTAGGCTCGGCCT